ATGCTTTTCCTGGATTATTTCAATATTGTCAAAATCAATTCTGTGGCCTGATTCTATAGCGTGTAGACCTATGGTTGATTTTTTCAAGCTTTTCTAGTTCAAGTGGATTTCTCGGTGGTGGCTGTTATCTCCACCAAGTGGTGAACTTGACAAAGCAAAAATGCCCCTATGCTGAGGAACGATGATTAAGTCGTTATATATAAGCTGTGATTTTATAAATTCTCGTTTAATAATACTTTGATACAGCTATTAGCAGCATTAAATGGCGCAACATCAATAAAAAAGCAATATCGTTTTGTTTTTTATTCATTGCGGAATACAAAAAACCGTTGTTATAATGAATGTCTTAGGTTTGATTTTTTACCACTGAGTTGTTCCACAGCACCGTTTCAAATAGTCTTGAAAGTGAAGCATCTTATACCATATATTTTTTCCTTCATGTTCCCAGTAGAACATAAGGCTTCAAGATAGAGGCCTGAAGTTTCTGTAGCAGTGTTTGTTTTTACAGGATGAGGTTGCCAGTCTCATCCCCAACCTTTCCTCCTTACCAACTTTTATTACTGGCTTAGTGAGCTAAAGGTGTGCGTCGGTGGCCGGGGGTCGAACTCCGGACCATGTGCATGGTCGGCGAGCGTCCTAACCGCTGTGCCACCGACGCACTATACATTATCAGGGCGAAGCGTGTGCATGTAGTACACAACCTTCTTCAAACCTTGTACACAATCATTAGGTCGCGTACTCTCCTATCGCCCTTGACGAATCTGGCAACAAAAATCACGAGAACACCATCAAAGCATATGACAGATTAGGTACCCCATATAATTAAGTTAAACAATCTGCTTTTCTAATGTCAGAGCCCTTTTAGCAGTCTTGCTTTACTACAATTTAAAATGCGCAAAGATTGAGACTTGACACCTAAAACTAAGGGATTATTCATACAAGTGAACAGACAAAAAAACAGAGTATTTCATTATTCCATTTTTTTATATTAAAATTTAAATAAGGCATCAGTAGTATACTCATTCTTACCTAATCTAGTAAGAAAATCATACATTGCAGAGCAGTATGTGGTTTTCCCACTACCAGGTGGTCCAATCACTAATTGTCCGAATAAATTCAATCCATTGGGAAATGGATACGGTTCAGAGTTGCACGACATTATTATGCAGACATGTAATAGGCCAAATTATCCATTAAACAAAAAACATATTGTAATGTACCTAAATAAACAAAATAAAGATGTAAGCAACAATAATCAATAGAGTTATGATTAGCCTACAGACAGTAATGGAAATTAAAAATCCCTATTGAATCATATGCAAGAAAATTCGTTTAGCGAAGAGTTACTCTTTTCAACCGACGATATCATTCTCAACTTGTACACTAGAAACAAGAGGAATGTTTCCAAAGGTGTGTCACTGAGATTGTAAGTTTTACGCAACAATTACGAAATTGGGTAGAAACTGAAATAAGGACTTAGCAGATTGCATCACATAATATAATTTATAGGACTGAGTAGGACTCAACTAAAAGTGAAATATAGTCAAATCAAAAACAGTATTAGTAGGTAGAAGTGTATTAGCAATGTGGTCGTGTGATACAGACAATGTGTTCCAACTGAATATTGTTCTAGTTTGGGAATCATCGGTAGTACGCACCCACTGGGGTTCGGACCCAGGACCTTCCTTACAAACCAACTCTTGAAAATTAATCTGATGCTTGATAGTGATTTGCTAAAGGACGAAGTTTCCTGAAGTTCCAGTGAGAAGTCGTTACCAGTGAGGTGCATCCAGTCAATTGTGAGGATGGATGTCTCGCTGATGACATTGGTTGGTGGTCGCGCTAAATCACGAATTTGTAGAAGTTAGAATTCATGGACTGGTTATTGAATCCAGTTCCAGTGGCTGAATGGTAACCGATTTTGCCTTGTAATCGACAAGGCAAACCCTGGTAGGTGGATGCGTACTGCCGATGATTCCCAAAATAGGATGAAACAGCTGTTCAGTACTCCAGTGCTGGTTTTCCAGTGGTTCTCTAACACTTTTCGCCGACTTATTCTTGTCACGCCCAGAAACCGGTGCTTTGCAGCAGCACATACAAGAAACAAATGTATACCTAAGATATGTTGATGACATTTTTATTGTCTGTGAAAGCAGATCAAAAGCGGAAGACATGTTGATAAAATTCAATTCATGCCATCCAAATCTCAATTTCACAGTAGAACACGAGGAAAACGATACTATGAAATTCCTAGACGTTTTTCTAGCCAAAATGAATGATGGCACAATCGAAAGATCTATATTTAGAAAGTCTTCATGGACAGGACAGTACATGCATTTCAAGAGCTTTGTCCCAATCCAGTACAAAAAGAACCTAGTCAGAACACTGTTCAATAGAGCACGGAAAATTTGTTCTGACAGTACTATTGAACAGGAAATAAAATCTCTGAAGGATATTTTATCTAAGAATGGATATCCTGAGAAGTTCATTAATAAATACTCCAAAGAAACTACCCCCTGCAAAACAATTCAAACAGTTCCAAAGAAACCTGTTTATATCAATTTACCGTTCAAAGGAGATGACGTACAAGAAGTAGTGAAACGAAGACTCGACAAAGCCATCAAGAGAACTTATTATGCTGCAAAACTTGTTATCCTTAACACCACCAAGCGAGTGCTTCAACAATCTGGGAAAGACCAGTCGCCAATCCTCGACACTTCAAACTGCATATATCAATTTGAGTGTGTTTGTGGCAGCAAATACATAGGTCGTACGGAAAGGCGATTGTCTACTCGCATGATGGAGCATTTGCCAAAATGGTTGAAAACAGCTGAGTTCAAAGTGCCAAAATCCTCAATAACAAAACATCTTGTAGATTACGGACATGATATCGACGCAGTCAAGTCATTTACCATTGTCAGCAAACAAAGAAACAAGAAGATGCTTGCAATTGCAGAGGCTTGTGCAATTCGAATTTATAAACCAGCTCTCTGTATACAAAAGGAGATGGTCGTAACTCTTAATCTACCATGGTAATACGTTTTATTCTCTACTTGTTATTATTCTACCTCTTCTTCTTACTATTATTGTTATTATTATTACCATTATTATTATTATTCTTGATTCATCTAAAACTATGCTTTATCAGTAAGATTATCTTAACTCACTTCAACACTATTAAAACTGTTATTATAACTATTACTATTGATATTAGTCTGTTTGCAATTCTCCTTATATTCCCTAGTGACTAATTGTTTATCTAAGTGATGCAATTGAAGCGTAATGCCATTTATCTTAATTTTGATCTCTCATACTCTCTCTCCCCTTATCTATTTGAACATGACCTGGAAAACATTCGCACGTGTCTTTCTGCATGATTAATTCTATGTAGTTTGTTTACTTATCAGTCTTATATCTCCCAATGTAATTTCAAAAGTATATATATCCGTGTATGTAGAGTATTCAGCTGACGAGTTCTACCGAAATTTGATGAATTCATTAAATCCTGCTTTATTAACCTTTATTGCTTGTTTTAGGTTCTCTAACTGATATCAATCCGTGGTAAACTCGTATAAACAAATCTGTCTGTCTGGATTCAACATAGAACTTGGCACCGAAGTGCAGCAGTTCCAGTTGCCACGTTCCTAATAGCACACAGAGGTAGACAAGAAGATGAGTGAAGAGAATCAATACAGTCGGACAAGTATAGGAGTGAAACAGAATGGGTAATGGTAGAAAGGAATATGAAAGATTACAGAGACTGAATACATCTGCGCTGGTCATTGACAACGATTTTGAGCCATGTCACCTATTGTCTCCAGCCATTGATTCCTAGAGTCCCGAGGGCCCCAACCCGGAAGTCTGCATCTCCCTCCCTACCTGACTCAGATTAACTGTCAAGGATTTCATAGATTGATGAGGCCATGTTTTTGTTTGGCCACCACCTGCACCTATATCAGCTAGTAATGCCCGTCGGGCGGGCGGGAGGCGGTGGCTAGGCATGCGCACCACGTGACCTAGCCATCTCAGTCTATGTAACTTTATAGCCTCGTCGATTGATTTTCCCTCTTTGCCCAACACTCTACGCCTAACGTCAACATTACCTACCTTATTAAACCACCTAACGTGAGAAAGAGATCGCACACATCTATGATCGAAAGCAGTCAACCTTTTCATGTCTTCAACGCGTATTGGCTATGTTTCAGAGCCATAGAGAAGGACGGAGCGAAGTGCTGAGCAGTACACACGTCCCTTGGTTGATAACCGGATGTCACGCCTACGCCAGAGATGGTGTAAGTCAGCGAAAGCAGCTCGAGCTTTTCGGATCTGTGCTGAGATTTCATCGCCAATCAGTCCGTTGGTGCTAATACAACTTCCCAAATAGGTGAAGTGCTCAACAAATCTAATCCTTACAAACCAAATCTTGGATATTATTCTCGCATATTCCCACATTTCAAAACTGTATTAGCAACAGAATACTATATACGTATTTGAACATTCTAGTTTATGTCGTTTAATGTAAACCAAAATCACACGTCCAGTGATTGGTTAAACAATGTAAACTGTATAGATATAAATAGCCATTTGACCACTTGAAAATATACCTTTGCATTAGTGTCTTTCTTGCCTTCTGCTGTTACAGTAGATTATAGTAGTAGTAGTAGTAGTAGTAGAAGGGAATGGGGAATCAATATAATTAAGAAACAAAAAATTATGCACCCGGTGTTAAGACAGATTAAGTCGGCTGAACCTACTCCTTTTTGTTACTGTTCTTTCAATTTTAGTTGAGTTCCATTATGGATATATGCATGCAATTGTACAGGTTGAGAGTGACAGTATTAGATGGCTGGAGGCAATCGACAGGAAGCCTCGCTTGACCTAGGTTTCGTGCTAGTTGGCACTCATCAGCAAGGCATATCTGCAACCTTGAAGGAACAACTTCGAGTTAGCAACAGGTTATTACACAATCAATCCTTTGTAAGATAAAATTGATTAAGAAGAACAGAGGAATGCATTAAGTAAGGATACCTAGATAAAAATAGGGCAATTAAACTAGCTGTAATAGTAAGCATAATAGAATAACTTGTTAAAATAATAGTAACAAGGATAGGGGAAAATTATCTGTAAAACTCTGTACATATTATGTAGATGGTTACGGCAAAGATAAAGGTTTTATGGATTCTTTTTGAAATCTGTGCTTTCGAAAGGAATTCGTACAACCTCTTCCGCATAATATATACAAAGTCTTACAAATGATTTTTCCCTACCCACCCATATCATTCCCCAAAACTGACTTGACTTAGACGTTAAATGACTCACAAGGTAGAGCCGTCAATGACGGACTAATCAAAAAGGTATATATTTCTTCAATTAATTTGGTTTCTTTTCTAAATGTTCTAAGTGTCCTCCGTTCAACTTCCTTACTTAATAACACCAAGTCATATAAATCCCTTTCCTTTAAGCAGTGTGTAGAATAAATTATTGTTAGAGAATCTATAGTCTGACAAGTAAAAGTAAAAAGTGCCACCTAAAGTATACAAGTCGAGAATGCGACATACACAATAATACCAGTACAAACAACACAACAAAAGAATCAAAATATCAAAACATTTATTTTATATTTCATAGGGCACATATATACATAATATATTTCATTTTACACACATTCTAATGCAGTTTGGGCGACAATTTATTCTGCAAACGGATTAGCATGAATTGTAATATTTTGTATATGAATATCCGTTAAAGGTTTGTAAGTCTTTTCTTCAACAGGTGCACGTTCCAACTCATCTAAAACATTCCATCCATCAATAACCCTGTAAGAAAACGACGACGACAACAACAATATACTGACTTTCGTAAGAATAAATAACTGTTATAGACAAGCACTGGTAGTAGTTAGTAAACACGTAACTGTTCTGTATTATAGTGTCATAGGAACGTAGTTTGTCAGCCTAAACAATTAATGTAGCATCTAAACTCGGTTCCTTTTATTTTGACATGGAAAATTCGGTAATGCCTAAAGTTTTCATACATTCACTACGGCTCACAGCCTAATATAATTCAGATTTATTGCCAGATGTACACATATCTGATTTAACATTAACCAAATCTGTCTGTCTGTTTGGTTTCAACATAAAACTTTGCACCGATGTGCAGCAGTTCAAGTCGCCACACTTCACTCAGCACATAAAGCCAGAGAGGAAAGCAAAAATAACCGCAAAATAGAGACAGTAAACACACATATGGGGCAAAAGAGAATAGTAATATAGAAGAACAATATAGTTTTATTGCAAATTATAAGTCACAAGGAGTGAATGCATCTGCGCCATTGAGAGCGATTTTCAGCCATATCACCGATTGTCTCCAGCCATTGGTGTTTACCGTCCCGAGGACCACAGCCAGGAAGTCTACATCTTCCTACGAGGCTTAAACTAACTGTTGTGGATTTTATTGACAGATGAAGCCATGTTTTGGTTTGATCACCACTGGCTCTTTTCCAACCTGACCCTATGTCAGCTAACATTGTCTGTCGAGGGGGTATCATGTAGAGGTCATAAAACAAGTAAACTAACCAAGTGATGAAAATATTAGTAGAATCTAGTTCATTAGATTTATAATACATACACACTTATTATGTGAAGCTTAGACATAAACAGGTTGACGGGAAACTGACGAATATATTGGTCATAAATCTTATCAAGTACCAATAGTTTTGAGTAATAGATGTCTTTCTATACAACTGATAATCAGGTACGCTTAATATATAAAAGCCTACAAAGTTTGGTAGTTGAAATGGAACTGCAGATACGTTTCCATGGTTGAAAATTAAAAGTCCAAACTACTAAGTTACAACTACACAAGTTTGTGTGATGAGAGCAAACAGATACCCTGTTTTAAGATCACACACAGCCAGTGAATATCAACAGGAAGGTAACATACATTTACAAGCCATACAGCTTAATATAATACAAAAGAATTATAGCATGAAAACATTCAACGTAATGTTGATGAAGTTCGCTCCCAGTAAGATCTGTGTTATGAGATAGTAGATCATATGAAGTGCACTGGTGGATGATGATTAGTAGTGGAATTCAGGATGCTCATTTAGTCCTATTAAGGACTCGTCATATGGATGTATTTCCATCCCCTAGTGGCTGATGATTTTCCCACTGAGGCTAGAGTCAAGTATCCATAGTTTCAAACACCAGAGAGCTATCCACTAGACTACTTGGGCCAGCAGAGCCACCTCTCATGCAATGGGTATCAGTAATTACTTGATTCAATTTAGGGTTTATATTTTTTTCTTATTTTTGATTATAGCTTGATTCCACGCCGCATTTATGGTACAAGTATAGAATTTTCAGCATGCGATATCAGTAGCCAAATTTTGCAGACCGACTGCTGATATCAGGTGTGCATCGACAGGGGATAGAACCCTGGACCATGCGCATGGTCAGCGAGAGTCCTAACCGCTGTGCCACCGATTGATTGAACCGAAGTGCTCGGTCTCAGGTTGGCTCCTTGTGCAGATGCTTGGACGATGTCTGAATATATATATATATATATATATATATATGCATCCTTGATTCCACTGCCAGTCACCATTCACTAATTTCAAGTTAAATAATCAGACATCATCGATGCGTCTGCCCAAGAAGCTGATATGTCGACCTCAAGCTGAGCACTTCGGTTCCATCAACTAACGGGAAAGTGCAAATTGAATTTAAGCAGATTATATGGTTTTGAAATCATTCTTGAGCATATAATCTCGTCTAGTGATGCTTCCTTTTATTTTTAATTTTACTCATTTTACTGTCTCAAGTTCTCTTTCAGATCTTTAAACTTGTTTCTATCTATTACTTTTGGATTCAGTTAGCCAATGATTCTTTGACTTCAAACTCCACCAACAACACAGTTGATAGATCTTCATATTAGTTGAAATCCCATGTTTATTTAAACTACAAACAATACAAGTCAATGCCCAACAAGTTTATTTTAAAAGCTCGTTGGAGGCGGAATATATTCATAGATCCACTTCACTTATCGGGATTCCGGTGACCAGGTAGCATCGCTAACTCTCATGTAGTGTGCATGGCTCATTCGTTAATGCACAATCAAACACATAGTTACTGCTTTTATTTTCAGTTATCTGACTTAAAAAGAAACATTGTTTGACTAACAAACTTAGTGTGCAACCACCTCTTGAACTTCGAAAATTATACAGCTACAGTTTTTTCAAGTAAAAGTGCATAAATACTGAATAAAACAAAACAGACGAAGAGTTCAAAATGACGCCACAGATATTTCCTAATATCACTAGCGTAGACAACTAACTTGATAGTATCCTAAGCTCTTACATATAGTAACACAGTGTATTAAAACATTAGAACTTACTTGCCGAAAATTGAGTATTTCATATCTAACATAGTTTGTTTGCTGTAGGTAATAAAGAACTGAGATCCGTTTGAATCTGGACCATTGTTGGCCATTGATATAATCCCTCGAGCATTATGCTATTATAAAATATATATACAGTGATTTATTTTTTTAAAATTACCCTCAGAGAATCATGAAATTCATCTTTAAATTTCTTTTTCCATATACTTTGACCATTTTTGCCTGTTCCTAAAAAAAGTAAACACAATAAGTTATGAGTTATACTTAGATCTCACCAGTTGGATCTCCAGTTTGTACTATAAATCCCTTGATATTACGATGAAATATACACCCTTTATAATAATCCGAAGCACATAAGGCTAAGAAATTCTAAAAATCATGGAAAAGAGACAGACAAATGCATAAAGGAAAAAGAAAGAGAAAGAACAAATATTTGTACATATAAATCGTGGTTGTATTTACAAAAGGAGAAAAAAAATTAATACTTTAGTAAAAATAAATTGGCCAAAAGATATACCTAATCATTTGTACACAAATAAATAAAGATTATAAAGAATCTAAAGAGAAATTGTCACATTTTTCTGTAGGTAGCGAGCTAGTACAATCATTCAACTCAGATACAGCAAGAATACCCCATTTACAGTCAACTTTTTTATGTTGATTCACTTTAATTTTCTCCTGCAATAAACAACATATCTGTACAAAAGCACGCCAATGCTTTTCAGAAATACCAGACCATATATTGTGAAGAGGACGGGTAGGGTCTGGACACAGAATAAAATGTGTTATACTATGTGCAGCATTGTTACATTGGGATTCTGATCGTGAAGTTAAACAACCATTACGTAAATCAATGATCACCTCATCAGGTTTTAGACTGCATATATGAGATAAGAATTTGTCCAATATCACATCCATTGAGGGAAGAGGATTAAGATCACAAAAATAGGAATGAATATCAGAAGCACTGCATGTATCAACATCATCATCGTTATACAACACTACCCAATTATCAATAAATGACTGAAGTCGAATAAATGATGGTGCATAATTTGAAACTTGTAAAAAGTTTATAAAAAGAGTAATAAGCTTGAAATTTGTAAATTCTGGATTAGGACCATCACGAGTTAAACATAATTCACGGGCTATATATTTTAACATAGTTATAGCCTTTTGAATTCCAGGGACGCATAAAGTCAACAGACGAAGTATCTCAGCCATCTTTACTCCACAATGCGATGAAGTAGTATTAAATGTAGTATTATTAACACACCATGAGATATCCAAGCCGGTTTTAAATACATTAATTTGATCCACATGAAGAATAGGAATTCGGCCAGTGTATATCCTTGTCTGTTTAAAACCTAAAGGATCCAATCTTCTCAACATAAATTGTAAGAAAGAAAGAAATCTATCTTTCAGAACTCCCGGGTCCAATAGTAGAACATTGGGGTTGATTGGCATTGACTTATCGGTCATCTGTTCATTGTTATTGCTAAAATGTTTAATATCTTTAAAATTTGCTGGCAGTTCAACAACCAAGTCTATATCTGAATTGACTGATCCTAAACCATTAATCACTGAACCGAATATTGAAACTTTTGTGTCTGGGAATAAGCAACAGAGGATTTCTTCGATACTATCACACAAAATAAATCTAGCCAAAATATCTTGTTCAGTTAGACAGTTAACATTATACAAGGCGGAAACTTGCTCGTCAAATGACTCGCAGGACATAAGAATTTCGATTATTTCTTTCGACGATGGAATATACTGATGAATAGATAGATTGGCTTTTGCAAATAATTCACTTGGATATTCATAAGATAAGTACTTCATGATATTTTCAACCGGCCAAATATTTGGATCAGAACAAATACGAAATATTGGCAATCTGAACATATCTTTTTTACTTTGCGGGTTAGTAGTAAAGTACGTATGGTTAAAAGATAAGAGTCTACTAAGCGTATATTGTAAAGATTCAGAAGAAGGGGATTCAATTAACAGGGTGCCAACTGACTGCATACGACTTTTCGAAGGCCAATAAACAGCACGGTCTAAAGATCCCCCTATTCTCAAGAATGTGTTAATTATATGGGGAACACTTGCTGGTGAACAGGCCAACAATACACTTCTCCTAGCTAAACACTTGTAGACAGATGGATTAAATATCATGATCACCAACTTGTACTAGGGAACTACCAAAAAAAAAAATAAACGTAAGCTAAGCGACTAGTTTATCTTACCTCAGAAGCCAAGGGTGCTTGCATACAAAATAGCTCAACCTTCAAATCGCCCAGATCCGTATGAAGTGTTACTGCCTGAAATAGTAAAAACAATTGTGATAGAAACAGTAGTTAATAACTGTCACACATAATATCGACTGACATGTAGTTAGGAGGTATGCTGACTAATGAGAAGTGTCCGTAAATTGCACAAAAACAGGATTGTAAAATTTATTTCGCTACAGTCTACTTGATCTACATCAAGTGACAGTGTTGGAGGAAAATAGTAGCTTGGTACACATAACACATAACTGAACTGACTGCTGAATAATCTATATCACATTAAATAAAGTATAATTATATTTCAATAATTTACACACAATGATAAGTTATGTTATTGGTAATATTTCGAGCAAAATTACCAATAACAAAACTTATCATTGTGTGTAAATTATTGAAATATAATTATACTTTATTTGATCTAATCCACAATGCTCAAACTTTTTACTGATACTATATCACATTCTTTAGTTCTTGACGTTGACCGAATTCTATCAATCAAGTCTCTGATGCAGTCACTGCGATAAGCCTCACCATTAAGGTGTACTTCGAATAAATTTTAGGTGATTGGAGAGAGTCGGTAGAAAACTAATACTTGACTACTGACACTTTTTTGGAAAGTTGCACCTGCATATTCAAGATAACCGATGTCTTTATTGATTTAAATCGATTTCCCAAATGCCAGTTAGAATTCTTCTAACAGAATTGCCTGGATAGCACTAATTCCCTGGAAGTTGGGTACATACCTTGATAACGAGTGTGAGAAACCATAATCTTTAGATTCAGAGATTTCTGCAGATTGTTTTTAACCACTATACACAGTCACTGCCTTCCAGTTTAATTATCGACACTGCATTCATGGTCATTCAAAAGCCCGATAATTTGGATTACGTGAATTTGGTCACTTTAGTTACTTGAACACAGGTCTCATGAAGGTTCATAGGCAAAACAAAGAACGTATGACAGCTTCATCGGTCTAATTTTTCACATTCATATTAAAGTGCTGCGCATATTTGTTCAATTTTTATCATTTTCAGGATTCTGGTCATTCTCATTCCCTTTCATTAGACTACCGTCAATCCTAGATTTATTTCTGTTGATTCTGACATCATTACATTTGTTTTTGTATTTTTATGCGCTTCGAAGTATGGTAACTTGAATCATAACACCTGGAAGTTTCTCATTGATTCGTCTGAGTTCTTAAAATAATGGAGCACATCTCACGTGAAAATATGGTTTATTGGTGGAAGCACTAGGTTTCCAGTCGAAGGGTCATGGATTCAAGTCCTGGTTCACCTACTTCAACATGGACAACTGGGTAGTATCATCGGCCCTTACACGATAGGTGTGGCTCTTAGCTTGGTACATAAAAGTCTTTCCCAGGCAATTGAGCTTAAACATATTAGAGAGCGGAATTCGATAAGTTGAAGGGCGAAATGTGGAGAAAGTGTGAAGACAGATCTTCAGTGGTATGATCCAATTGAGGTAATACCTCTTAAAAACAACAGTTGTTGACTATCAATTTTCCCATGCAACCCTAATCATTTCAGATTTATTGACAGGATGCTACTGACTTTTTATAGCAATGAAAAGACCATTTTATGCTTGCTGCGAGCGAAATACACAACTTTGACTAATTTGTCTTTAGTTTGATGAGCGCTTTATATTTTCTAAGACTCAACACAGACTCACTAACATATTTCCCAGCAACCCTGATCTACTTAGACCTAAATACTTCACAACTTAACACCTATGTCTAACAACATTACATGGTAAAAATGTCTTAATACAAGTTAGAAAACTCAAGAAAATTTGCTGAAAATGATAGTTGCATTAAAGTAAACACTTGATGCAGGCAGTTAAAAGAGGATAAACAAGTCTTAAATGATTTATTTTCATTTGAAAAATTGTACAACAATAATATATACACTACTTAAGTGACTCAATGAGATATGTATCCATAAATGAAGGGAATTCCAGTAGGGACAACTTTCTGGTATTCTCGGTAGTCTTCACCGAAAAAGTGGACAAGCGCTCGTTCTTCTTCATATATTCTATGTTTGAAGAAACTAAATGCCACTAAAGCATATGCTACCATGCAAACCGGATTGATAAGTAGGACTTGAGTACCAACACACCAACAAAACCACCCAACATAGGCTGGATGACGGCAAAAGGAGTAAACTCCCCCTGTAACCAGTTGGTGTCTTCCTTTCTTTCGAAACTGTACGAAATGATTGAAATTCTCTCCTGCTGTAAACAAAGCTAACTTGCGTAAAATTTCACCAGAAACACAAAAGATGGACCCAACACACTTGATAAAAAGGAGATTCCATGCATGATTAGGGTAAAAATAGGATATAAATAATTTTTCCAACCAGTATTCTAACACACTCATAGCAAGAGCAATTATATATTCAGTGCTATGAGAGAGCATGTATATGTCAATAGAACAGTTGCTGGTATTGTAGACAGCAGTGAAGTAGAATTCCGACCAATGGAAAAAAGCGAGGAAAGCTAAGTAAACACCAAATGTACAATAATCATTATGCATGTCCACAGACAGAAAACCCAGGGCAAAGAATAAGCCGACGCCAAATATGCAACCCAAAAAATATGCACGCCAACAGTTATCCAGCAAAGGACATCGACGAGTTGCAGTGTCAATATTTCTCAGGTACAACATGATACAGAACACGATCGGAAGTACGAAACAAATTTGAAGAATTGCTGACCATGCTACATGACTTAACAGCGAAGAGCGCAGATTACTGTTAATTAGAAACAGATAAATTGTTGAGCCTAGAATGAAACCTGATAAGGAGACGAACGAATCTACACATTGTACACGAATACTGAGTAAACCACGAACCATATTTAGATACGTTAATTCCACATTTTCCGCATGGTATTTAAAATAGCCGCTTTGCCATTCGACCTCGAACCAAGGGCCAAGATTCGGTTTTACTGGTTGAGAAAAGAAGGCCTACAGCCTATATTAATCTTTTTCTAGTAAATTTCTTTGCTTTTCCAAGCCCCTCTTGAATGGATCAATTTAAGGAGTCGGTTCCAGGATCTTGTTACTCAGTGTGAGAACAAGTACTCCACAGCAATATGGTTTCCCCTTGACTTTTGAACTCTCCTGCCATAACCTCTAAGGCGTCCCGACCTGGAAGGAAGGAAAAGAGCGAATAGATCGGGACCGTAGTCATTAATTCAAATTTAAAACATTGTGATTAAATCTCTTCTCTGCCTACGGTATGATAGGGAGAAGAGATTTAAACTGTCTAGTCTTTCCTCATATGATAAGTTAGTCATGCCAAGAATCATACGTGTCGGCTTCTTTTGAACCTTTTCTGGAATATGTGAGCCCCGTTTATGACTAGGAGTGTCGGCCTGGGTATATTTTTCCAGTTTTTGCCTCACTACGGATATTTATCAGGAAGTGAACACATCTCATGTGATTCTTTTTCCCAGTGTAACATAGGGCTCCAAGCTATAGGCTTGAAGATTCCGTAGCAGTGTTGATTATTTACAGGATGGGGTTGCTAGCCTCATGCCCAACCTTTCCTCCTTACCAGTCTCACTACTGGCTTAGTGAGGTAAAGGAGTGCGTCGGTGGCCGGGGCTCGAACCCTGGACCATGCGCATGGTTGGCGAGCGTCTTAACGGCTGTGCCACCGACGCCCAATGGATAAGGCATCTGACTTCGGACCAGAAGATTGTGGGTTCGAGTCCTGTCGGGGTCGAGGCTTTTTTACTCGCTTCGGCGGTACATATACTAAAATTGGAACGATACAGAGAAGATTAGCATGGCCCCTGCGTAAGGATGACACACAAAATCGTGAAGCGTTACATATTTTGGGTCCCAGTGACTTAGTGGTATACGAGCTCGCCTTGTTACCAGAAGGTCTTGGGCTCGAACCCTGGTGGTTGCGTACTGCCATGTGATTCTAGGCTTTACAAATTACCCATAAGGAACTGAATCCATGTTCAGCCACTGTGTGACAGTGTGGTGTAGATTTTGAGTCATGACTTACTATGAGACCTAAATCCAAATGAGTCTGAAGCGATATGTGAGCGTATCACTTTGCCCTTCAGCTTTCTCCAGATTTTTAAGTCGTCTGCGTACAGGGCCACTGGGAAATCCCGTAATTAGATGCATACAGGCGTAGGTTATTTAACATCTATAAAGTAGACATGCAAATACCGCAGTTTTTGATCACAGAAATGATGGATACTAGATAACATCCTATGATTCAACGGCATATTAAAATAAATAAAAATTGTTTCTTAGCTGATTGTCAAGTGAACAGTCTATTTGATGATGTCACTGCATATTAACAGATTAGTGAAGTAGATATCAAGCCTAAGTTACTACATTTACTTGTACTACATACTTGGCGTTTAACAGTATACAGACTTTCAACTGGCTAGATAAGGCGACTTTAGAGTATCCAACAGTACAGAATTATTATTCAACTTGCTAAATCCCACTTACCTTTTACAATGTGCTATTGTGTAGAAACAGACACGAAATCCTACTAATGACTAAAGTAACATTCTCATAATACTACAGTGAATTTCCATCCCACTAACTAAGCTTAGCGTTTATTATTCCTAATTCATTTATTACTAAAGCACATAGTATAGCGAGGAATTGAAGAAGTCTACAGGAAGAAGTAATCAAGAGTATATCAAATATTTGATTAATTTACAAAAGAAAATTCTGGGTAATACAGTTAGTTTGACCGAATGATGTTTCCGCTGATTTCATATTCGACAACATCCGTATACCTGGAAAAAAGTACATGTTAGAACTAGCATAACACGAAGTTACAAGAGATAATTCTACATATTAGCATATACTATGAATACACTGATTCTGTTAACACTAAGTAATATCTCATGCAGATAAATGTATTTGTAGTCTACAACTGATTTTTATGTTGACGCCGTATACATAAATAGACATCATATGTTTTCCTGCATTTGAGGACTATATGCAAATTTCAAGGCAATCTCCGAAACATTCATACTATTGAGGCGTCATTCTGTCATCAAGCTTATTTGCAGATCAACTTCACACTAAACACTTTTACATGAAATGAAGTATTGCAAGTGTATAACTTAGAAGTTAATCCACAATCTCAGTAATGTCTAGTCCACAAGGTTTTGTGAATCCTACAGAAATCACATTTTCACATTTAGGAGACTATAGGCATCAAATATGTAAGCTGAGCATGCCTCAACTCTAGACAGCTATGCACAGTGCTAACAACATAGTGAAACACTTCAACTATTGTAAAGTACACAGACCTGTTGTGTTGATGAGGATAATAATGTCATATAATGCAAACTAGAAAATTCAATCGTCATAGAGCATCTGTACTGCTTTGTCTAAATGGAAATCTCAGGAGAAATTCATCTCCACTATTGGTGATCAAAAATATTGTAGCATTAAGTATACAGTCAGTGGAAATTGTAAAAGAGAATAAATTCATATTAATGATAATAAAGCTGAATAGATTCAGTTCTAGTAATCACCACGACTCATGCGTATAATCATACCGTGTAATGATTTAGTGCATTAATTGGAACAGCAAGGAAATTTAAACGAGTAATTGCCTTCTCCACTGCACCGTACTGGCAATAATCGTGATAACCACCTTCGTTTGTTATCCTATCAGTCAGCTAAGTAGACAATGGCCCAATATTATTACAGTTGAGATATTTTTGTACATTTAATTCACATAACCCATAGCACACTGCACCAACCAGTGCCAATATATATAATAATAATGTATATTCTCATATAAACATATAAATTTATGTATACGGCGTCAACATAAAAATCAGTTGTAGACTACAAATACATTTATCTGCATGAGATATTACTTAGTGTTAACAGAATCAGTGTATTCATAGTATAAATTTACATGAAAATGCATGCCATTTTTACAGACACGATCAAGTATGATATAATATCAAATCGTAGATTGTCTACAAGTTAATAATGTTTCAACAGTTAAATATTTGATATATATATAAATACACATTGTCTGAACTAGGCTGTATAGTTATTGAATTGTACAATTGTCCTCCAGGTTGAGCGGGAAAATCGACTTCGTTTCGTTTTCATCCCGTGGTTGTCGGCATACGATAACCAACCAATATTGAGGTAAGTACAACGTTTACAAGGGATTGAAAGCTGTTTTTAGAAGGGTAAAAGTGCTGAGGTGAATCATTAAATTGTAATGAAATAGGTAAGTGCAAGTATCACTAATAAATGCATTAAAAAAAGAAAACTCCCTAGGCTGACAACGTTCATTTGCAATGTATAATGCTACACGTATACCTCGTACTATCATGATGTCCACTTTTGGTTTTAATACATTTATCCTCAGTTGTGCCAGTTGTTTTTGTTTTATACCTTTTTGTGCATTTAATGTACAACCGTACCCTTCAGAGAGTAGGAATATAATAAGTCATAAAGAGCTGTAAAATGTTAGGTTTAATGGAATATAATGAGGATCAAGTAAAGACGTTATTGGAAAATGAATGAGATAAGACATTGTGAAGTGGTATTTAAAGATCAGTCAATGGACAGCAAGTTAGTTTATAAGATGCCCCATAAAACTGTGCACATCCCACATGGTCGCATCTCAACAATAGGCTGGGCGAATAGTATATCCATTTAGAGATAACCTTTCAACTTACCATAATTCCTGTCCAACCACAGATAAAGTGAAAAGCACATCTAAATGACAACTTAGGTTCCCACCAACGATTCTGATAACATTTGCAGGTGATTTCCAAGTATTGAGAGAATTATTTTGTCAAAAAAGACTGTTCTTCACACGAAAATAGGCTGTACTGATATCCTGAGACATGAAGTCTTCATTGAATGATACTATGCCGAAAGATGCAGCTTCTACATGGAGTAAATGAGTGGTGTAAATGGCATTACCCTCTAACTATCCTATCTCCCTCATTACACCGACATTTCGATACATTCCATCTGAAACACTAATCATTGCAACCAATATGCTAAAAGTGTGTCGCAGTCAGATCACATGAGGCGGACACCAACATAACCAGCCAAAAAGTGGGAATTTCCCTCAATCTAGATAACATATAATACAATTTTATTAAAAATTATTGGCAAAAAAAATTTCCAATCGGAATTCAACAGTACGTGATAAATATGTCCAGCCCCACATTTCTCTTGCAGTAGGAAGATTTGACAGGTATGGAAGGTTTCCTCAGAAACCACGCTGTGATCTGGACAACAGTTAATCAGTTAAGATTATTGCATAACACTGTGTGATTTATCTAAATAAAATCTTATCTATAATATTAAATTATTATTATATTATATTCTACCACAGTGCCCAATTTTTATACTTACATCAATAATGCTTTGGACAACAAGTTGTAGTTTCCCAGATAGACCATGATACTTTTCTTGATGATTCTTTCCAGTGTCTTGATTGGGGTGGTCATGAGACTAACTGGCCTGTGGTTTGGAGGGCTTTGTCTTGATCCTCTTTTTTGGATAGTGGTTACTATGGCGTCTTCTCGGTCGTGTGGTGACGTCCTATTCAGGAGAGATAACTTGAAGATCGTGGTCAGTGGGCCGGCTTTGTGAGCTGATAGGTCCCTGAGAAGCCTTGATGAAGATTATCAGGACCCATTGAATTTCCCTCACCTAATTGTTTTTAAGGCAGTTGAACACGATGTCTTGGTCGACGTCAACGGAGTTTATCCTGTGTTTTTCTGATACAGCCAAAGCCACTCCTATGGGGAGTGACGATCCCTGTTCAAAAATTTGAGAGTGGCATGCCAGTGCATGTTTTTCCTTGATCTTCGATTGTGTCATCGTCGGTAGTCAGGTTTAAGACATATGCTGGATGTCTTGTTCCTGAAGTTCATGAACAAGAAAATATTTTCAGTTGTACTGAAATCTTATGTGCCAGATGTGTTTTGAACTTCGTCCTTGATTGACGGATTTCAGCAATTGTTTTGTTCCTAGTGGTGTTGCATAACTTTCTGGTTTCAGGGGTCTCAAGTGTGGTAAACAGGTTCTAGGATTTGTGTTTACTTCTGAGTAATTTACGGATCTCTCGGATTATCCAAGAGG